ATTATACACCACTTATTATTATTATTATTATTATTATAAAAATCAGATAATAAATTCCTTGATGCAACATTTTTTGAGTTGTCCATATCCACAATCTATATCCACAGAATTGAAGAGCAGTGATCACTAGTCAAACAGGCAAATTATGAAATCTATCAGTTATACAGTATATTTCAAATAGAAAAATGTATGCTTGGCCTGCTGATCAAAGTGGTCATTTGCACAGTAAATTATGCTCATATTACCTATGAGTGTAACAGATGCTCATAAATTATCCTAATGATCTCAACAGAAAGCATACTACATTCTTATCAATCCTATAAAAGTAGAAATGTGTGAAAATTAACCGCACAATTAAAAATAAAAAGTAACCGGCACTTAAATGGGATAACAAATGGGATAAAATTGGTCTTTATCTTAAGCAGTATCTCCAACAACAAATAACCAGATAAGGTTTGATCACAAACAGGTGGTAATGTGTAAGAATTGAATTTTCATCCCACCATACAAATATAAAATTGATCCCTCGCTATACTGTACAAGTTTTCTTTTATACGAGACATGCTGTGAGGTAATTCCTACCTGTTTTATATTTAACTAACACATTTTTACCCTCGAAAGACTTCTCTTCTCACATTTTCTCATTTTCTTTTTCATTTTTATTGCATTTTAACTTTTTTATAATGTTTGCATGTCTTCAGTGCATATAGTACAGGATAATACCAAACGTTTTTTTTTCCCTAAGGATGTAACTACTGTACTATAAATGAGCAGGAGTTTTCTAGATTTCCTACCTTTGGTTTATGCATTGGTTAATGACTTTAAACATGTTACTTGAATAATTAACATGGAATGTTACTGTTTTCATATTTAGTGTTCTGTTCGGTGTTAAGGTGAAGTTTGGGTTTCCGAGGGAACACTTGAGTTCTAAAACCAATAAGATATTATAATATGAGAAGTAATGGGTACTTAGTTTCCATTATCCACATTTTCACCTCACGAGCAGTTTTCAAGGAATAATGAAGCTTGTTTCGGATTAAATATGATTTATTTTGTAAGAGGTATTACTGAGTAGAAAAACAATTTAACTTTAAAGAAATGTTTCATACTGGACTGTTCATCTTACGCGTGTGTTTTATTTGATTTTATATATGAAGTTGGTAAAAATGCTTTTATAAAACATTACTGGATGTTAAAAATACCTGGCCTCATATTTGTTATATTCTCATAACCTACTGTATGCAAGTATAGCTTAAACTTAATTAATAATATGGAGTTTTATACTGTATAAACTTAAAGAATATCACAAGAAGGACCTCTTTTCATGAAATTAACAGTAATATAGAATACAGAAACTAATCTAAAAACTAAAAAATTTAAAACTGTTCAACTGTTTCTATATTTTTAACAGTTCAACTTTCCACTCACCTACTGACAACAAGCAAATGATACAAGTAGAGGGAACTTTCCACATCCATCAATATTTAAGTCTGTTGGCGCCCGACACATGCAAGATTTGGGCATTAATTTCTTTAACCGGCAAGCAATGAAGAAAAGCCATATGTTCTGAATTTAGAATGCTGCCTAATGTGTGTCTGTGAGCCCTTTTTCACTCTCTGATTCATCACAGTGTTTTTTTCTATTTAACAAATCACGTTTGCTTCTCATATCTGTAAAATAAATGTACCAGAGCCAAATCAGTCCCTCATAAAAAAGTATTTTACCACATAGCCCATAAACAATATGTGTACTGCTTACATATTTCAATAAAATGAGCATTTATTTTTTTAATAAAAAAGGTCAAAAACGTGCAACATCATAATCATTTTTAAGAAACTACTTTAAGAGGAGAATGCCACTCTGGAATAAAAGCAAAATAATCTCTTTTGTCAAACCAGAACCAAATAACATCATCCAATTTGATATCTGGACGAACATATAGAAAAGAAAATATCCTTGTTTAAGCAAGATATTAAGATATTAAAAACAAACATATACATTGCTGGAAAAAAACTGTGAACTGCGAATTATAAACATCTGGAGTTTTACATATACCAAGCTAATACTAATACTATATCCAAAGACCCTTTTTATCATTACAAAACTATTGTAATTACGTGGCTCTTTTAAGACTTTGAACTTTCGTGGTCTTGTTCAATTTTAAGTTCAAGTATTGTATGACAAAGGTTTACTTAGACACTAGTTTAACTTATACAAGCCTCAACTAGCTCAATTTTTTGTATTATGCGTATTAATAAGTGTTTATTCATGCTTTGGTTTGGAAGATCTTGATCAAATATCCCCAGGAGCAGAGTCATTAAGAACATTTAAGAAGGTTTTAATTGGATTCTTGTAAAGTTAATCTATAGTCCTGTGCTCCTTGCATCTTTTACAGGATATTTGTCTTTTATGTATTTGATGATCCACAGTAAAAAGCTTTTCCTCCCCCCCACTCTTCTGGTCTAAAATCAGCCCCTTCCCTGTTACCTTTACAGGGAATACTGCAAACTACACAAACTGGATGGTAGGCTGGGACAAAACTTCCTTCTCCTCTAAAACCTCAATACACCATTTATTATATTTTAAACTTGCATGTTAAATGTGTGCAGGACCATATTGACAGTTCCACATGAAGAGCACTTCAAGGTGCATTTTGGTACCTCTCTATGCACATTTGTGGGAGTGCCCTGTGGCAGAGAACCTTTAGGCATGTGTGCCTAATGTGCATTTAGATGTGACTACTGTCTGTGCCAGTGAGCACGTGGTTGCTCCTTTTCAATCACAGATGTAAAAGGTACTATTATCCTACTTTGGGTATGATACCATCCACTAGTGGGTTTAACAGCAGAAAAAAAAAAATCTTACAAGGATTAGTTCAGGCCTGGATACTCTTAGATAATTTTGTCAAATGAATGAAACCAAATGTACTTATGGAAAGAGGAAAGGCTATGTTACTTTTTAAAAGTGCAGAAAATCTGATAAAATGGTCAAAAGCATTCCTATCTCCTTATGGCTATCATAATTAACCTTTTTGTTTTTGTCTGAGAGCTCTGAGAACCCGTATTCCTATGCTTTCTTGAAAAATAAAAAGGCTCTTGCCATAAATGACCATATTTATAATAATTTTGAAAACTGGTTAGAGTGGTTAGTGTACAGGACTGATGGGAAACAAGAGTCATAACATGAAAAGTACTTTATTTTTCTTTAAATCTGAGACTTACCACCGTTTTGCTTTCTAACCCCTTTCACACACAAACCCACGGCATATCCTTCATAACACTGCCACCCTGTGGGCTTAAGAAGCCTAATCCTTTTCCTGTAGGTGATCTTGCCATTGTATTGAATTATCTTTGAAGCAATTAGCACTTCATTGCATCTGAAACAATCAAATGTCACTTGACTGGCTCAAGCTTTAAGTGGACAGAGAAGAGCATTAAGATCTCACAATATCGAAAATCTCAAGCAGAAAGTAATTAAACCTTATATTTTAGTACATAATAGTTACTAGTCACTAATTCTTCTTAAGGTCATTAAGTCTGATGCAGCATAGATGGTCAAAGACTAGACAGCCTAGCAACTTAATACTGGACAGGTATCCTATAACTGGTAAGCTATTAAATTTATGCTAAAAGTTAAACTCCTGTGTCAACTAAATCCTTTCAAAATCACCATTATTGTATGAATCACCTAATTAAAACTACAGATTT